GTAGGTCGCTGGCTAGCTATCCTCTCTAGAGCACTAACCAGCCCCATTGTAGTGTCTGTGCACTACAGCGGCAGCTCAAACAGCGCTTAATGGACTTCACTACCTTACAGGTCCCCGACACGACGAAGCCCTTCGAGTTATACACAGATGCCTCTGGTTATGCAGTCGGAGCAGTTCTTGAACAAGACGGTAAACCCATCGGCTTCCTTAGTCAAGTCATGAACCCCACGCAACAGAGACATCTACGATCAGGAACTCTTGGCGTTGGTCACGGCGCTGGACAAGTGGGCGCACTTGCTCCGTGTCTCCAAGGTGACGGCTTTCACGGATCATCAAGCTCTCACCCATCTCCAACGACTCCAAGCTTCGAAGCTTCTGCGCGGACGCACCGCCCGGTGGCTAAACTTCCTTGCAGAGTTCCCCGATTTGCATATCACGTATGTTCAGGGAGCGCGCAGTCAAGTTGCCGACGCCTTGTCTCGCCGTCCCGGCCTCTCTAACACCTGCTGGCACGCCACACCATCGGCGCCGCTGATGCTCGCAACTGGTCGAAGACGCGGAAGGCCTCGCGGCAGTGGGACTTTGCTGCTGCGCATGCAGCAAGAAGTTCTGTGTAAGTGAGATCTGTGGGGAGGACTTGGGACTGCAGCATGTCCTGCAGCAAAGCGAAAGCTTTTGCTGCTTCCTTTTTCCTTGCATGCATTTTCATGATTACTGTGAACATTGCAGCATCCGGCAGCACTTTGTGCCAAGTCCGGAGGTCCCAGAAGAGCTGCTGCGCAGAAGCGAGCGCGGCTTCCCGCTCTCGCGGTCCGCTTCCAACTATCGCGAGCTCGCCGGAATTCGCCCGCGCCGCCGTCGACGACACAGCACGCAGTCTGCGCCTTCCCCTGCGCCGCAGGAACCCAACCCCGAGCCGGAACCTTCTACCCTCACAACGAAGGCACCCGCTGGTCCCCCTGGCGCGCGCCATTGGCCGCAAGCGTACTCGAAGTGTCCTGTTTTTCGAGTTCCCTACGAAGCCGCAGCAAACCAACCAGGAGAAGCTCTGCAGATCGAGTTCTGTCACCGCCAATCTACCATTCGCTACGCAGAGCCTTACCTGCACATCCGCCTTCATGGACTGTGGCGCATCTGCGTCCCCCAGTTCCCTGAGTTCCTTACTCACGTTCTGCATTCGCATCACGACCATGTCACAGCAGGCCATCGAGGCCAGAAAAAGACCTTTGCGGCCCTCAGCAAGCTCTACTACTGGCCTGGAATGCGTGCCTATACCACCGCTTATGCTGAGTCATGCACCCACTGTCGCGCTTCAAAATCCATTAACCAGAAGCCTGCAGGCCTTCTTCAACAGTTGCTCATCCCTTCTCGTCGATGGGCACACGTGAGCCTCTATTTCATCACTGATCTTCCCCTTACAACGACTGGGCACGACTCGATCCTTGTCATGGTCGATTCCCTCAGCAAGATGGCTCATTTCGTTCCTGCAAAGAAATCCTTCACAGCAGCAGACACCGTGGACTCCTCGCAGACCGCCTTTTCCGCTACCATGGATTTCCAGAGGCGCTTATATCGGACTGAGACCCCCGTTTCCAGTCGGATCTTTGGAACCAGCTCTGCCGCCGCTTCAACATCAAACGGTGCATGTCCTCGCCCTACCATCCCCAAAGCGACGGCCAGACTGAACGAATGAACCGCACATTGGAGCAGATGCTTCGTACCTATATCCAATCTGACGAACGCGAATGGGAGCGTTTGCTTCCGGCCTTGGAACTTGCCTACAACACAACAAGTCATTCATCCACTGAGCTCTTTCCTTTCGAGGTCATGATTGGCGAGAACCCGTTGACGGCTGCGGACCTCGATATCGTAGGCGCGCTAGCTCCTACACTCACTCCCCCGATGACTAAGCTCTTCCGACAGCTCTGCGACAGAGCACAGAGCCACTTCCTGAAGGCAAAATCGCAGCAGAAGTACTACGCAGACACGAAGCGCCGAGCAGTGGAGTACGCGGTGGGCGACAAGGTCTGGCTCAGCAGCAAGCACCTACCGCCTTTCAACAGCTGCCCTAAGTTCGAGCCCCGTTACCGCGGACCCTTCGAAGTCATCGAACGCATAGGAACCGTCGCTTACCGTCTCGCTCTGCCTCCCACGTATGATTGCCATGACGTTTTCCACGCCCTCCCGCTTTGGCTTCCTCGGCAGCCGATGCTGCCTGGCCTCCTATCCACGATGCAGCAGGAAATCCCACAGCGGACTACGAAGTCGACTATACTATGGACCAACGCGGCTCTGGAGATGCAGCCCAGTACCTCGTGAAGTGGCGCGGAGCCCCTGAAGATCACGCCACATGGGAGCCAGCTCACCACCTTACAGGCTGCCGGTAGGGTTTGCGAGGGTTTAGGGTTTAGGGTTTAGGGTTTAGGGTTTGGTGGAGCGAAGAAGGCGCAGAACAAAACCGCAGGGAGCAGCGGCTGCTGGCTTCTGTCCTTTATGAGTTGGGGCTGGAGTGTGTTGCTAGGGTTTGTGGCTAGGGTTTGCTGCAGGGTAGGGTTTGCGAGGGTTTAGGGTTTAGGGTTTAGGGTTTAGGGTTTGCTGCAGCGAAGAAGGCGCAGAACAAAGCCGCAGGGAGCGATGCTGCCCACATGGGAGCCAGCACCTCGCCTTACTGGCTGCCCGGCTTTGCTTCGCGCTTGGCGCCGCCGCCAACGAAGACGTCTTCAGGCTCGAAACAACTTGGATTCTTCCGAAGTCAATATGAAGGTTTTTTTTAGAAAAAAGTAACATTTTGCTTTCATATAGTTCAAGTGAGTTCGCATGTTTACGAGATCCCGTTCTTATAGAGTATAGAAAGTAAAGTGAACTACTAGCCAGATAGCTAGTCCAGCACGAGCAGCAAGTCTAGGCGAAAATGGATACTCCTTCAACAGACAGAGAAAGCACTGCTGTGGGGTTCACCCCCAACACGCCGATAACCCC